TTCTACAGCCAGTCCTCTCAGTTCACTGACACCTGCTCCGTGGTGTTGCATCTGAATGGGTAAGAATCTGGATTTTCAGAGCTCAGTGGCAGAAATACTCTGAACTCTTCTGTGGGTTTTCCTGTTATTTGGTTCAGCCTTTCTATCTGTTGCCACACTCTCCTGCTGAAAATCCATCCTACCACCAACAGACACATGTCAGGGTGGCAATTAAGAGCAAATTGTGCTTCTATGTTCTTACATGCTGTTCAAGTCTGGTGTACATGTGACCTCATATATCATTTTCAAAGATCTGAGTATCTTTGAGAACACTTGTTTTGTTTAGTTTAAATAAATCTTTCCCTAGGATGTTGGTTATTAGGGCTTTCTTCAAAGAATCTCCATTTCCCAGAACAATGATTGAAATCTTCTTTTCTGTGAAAACAACAAACATAATGTCATTTTTTAATCTCATACAATAAAGAAATCTGTACATGGTTTCAATTTCCCTTAATTATTCAAAAGTGGATCCTTGACTTCAACAATAGAGTTGTATTAATGCAAAGTAAAGAGAGCATTACAAACAAATAGAAATAGTTTAACTTACTGTCAGACATGGTCCTTGGATCCTGTGCAGCAAGGAGCCAGACGAGCTGTGAGGTATCTGCAGAATGTCCTTGTCTTTGCCTGTTTTATATGGAGCTGTTATGCAAATATTATGGGGGTGTCAGCCGTGTAGTTACTATATAAAGAAACAACAATGTCTCAAACAAATGCCTTTACATTCATCTTTGTCGTCTCTGCACAGAAAACAGTGCTGAGAGAAAATGGCTCTTCCTGCTGGTAAGACTCAAAACATTTTTGTTTTAATCTGCTCTATGTGCTCATATTCACTAAAATATATGTACATCAAGCCAACGATTTACTCTTTCAGACAGCTTGAACACAAGTTATGAATTGTTTTGCAGGTCCTGATATGAGAATTGTGATGATTGGAAAAACTGGTGTGGGCAAGAGTGCTGTTGGAAACACCATTCTGGGAGAGAGAAGTTTCAGATCCCGTCCCTGTTCAGAGTCGGTGACTGAGACGTGTCAAAAAGCTGCGGTACTCTGGAATAACAGAGTACTTAGTGTGGTAGACACACCAGGGATCCTGGACACTTCGAAATCCCCAGATATCATCAAAAAAGAAATTGTGAAATGTGTCCAAGTCTCATGTCCTGGTCCTCATGTGTTCCTGCTGGTCATCCAAGTGGGTCGATTCACCAGAAGAGAAAAACTCAGTGGAAGCCCTGCAGGAGCTGTTTGGTCCAGAAGCTAACCAGCACATGATCGTGCTGTTTACTCGTGGTGGTGATCTTGGAGACCAGACCATACAACAGTATGTAAGAGAGGGCCATCCAGAGCTTCGACGAGTCATCCAAAGCTGTGGAAACAGGTTCCACGTCTTTGACAACACCAATAAAGCCAGAAGTCAAGTAGTGGAGCTGATCAAGAAGATCGATGACATGGTTGCAGGAAACGGGGGGACGCACTACTCAGATGCCATGTATAAAGAAGTGCAGAGCAAACAAATGACAAAGGGAAGCCTAAGTGAAGACCAATACTCCTTCAGTGCTGCATTGTTTGAACGTATCAAGCAATTTCTATTCATTCTTTCAAGAGAGTGAATAATCATAATCAATAGCCTAAACACATCATCAGTATCCAGATCAAACAGGAAACGTCTGTACTGCAAAAGTAGATAGAAGTGTAGAAAGATAATCAGTAGAGATAATACAGACTGTGATGAGCTACTACGTATTTCTTCTTCGTATCTTCTAAACATAAACCTGTTCTTGATTTTACTTGTTGTTTGCTTTACAAGAACTTAATTGTTTACTGTTTAATTTTCACTTATTGGTGTAACGTGTGCTTTCAAAAATGTACTTTTACTTTTATTCTGGTGAATGAAGATCAAATAAAACATATCTTAATCTGAAAAATTGTGTTTCATGTTATTGTACTAAGAAGTCAGATGAAAGAACTTAATATTATTATTGATATTATATAAATCACAATAATATACCCCACTTAACATTTACAACAATAAATTTCTTTTACAAAAATGGCATGGCAAATTACCCCTTGTCAGCCCACTATTCGGGCACAGCATATGAAAACAAGGGGGGGCTGGAGCCAATCCCAGTTGACATAGGGCGTAAAACGGACAGGTCATTAAAGAAAATAATTCCATAAGAAAACCACGCTCTTCACAATGAGATACTTAGATGCTATAGCGTATAGTAATAAATACGCGTTTAATCGGGCAGCAATAAAAAGTGAAAGAATTTCTGCAGCTTGTGAGTGGGTGATGCAGGCTGCTTTCCAACACTGACACCACTAGCACATGCAAACATTTAGAAAATCAGGCTAATACCTTTTCACTTTAAGGTTTGGTTGTTCTTGTCAGTTCAGGGACAGGCGCCCTGGCGCTGTCCTGCATAACTGGGCGCATACAGCTTGGTTGACAGCTCATTTCGTTAGTTAATGAAGCAAAATACATAGTAGATAACAGACAAATTAACTAACTAAAGAAGTTATGAAGGAATAAATAGCACATGTAGGGAAGTTAAACAGATTACTGGCCCATAAAATATTCGAGAAAAGAGTAAAAGTCAAGTTTTTATAAAAGAAACGTAAAAAGTTGCCAACAACCTTTTTTTTTACTCATTAATGAGTCACTACCATAGACTGTATATAAGAAGTGGACGTGGTCATCGTGACGTCCCCCGTTGGTTTGTGGACTGCCGTTTTGAAGCCTTGAGTTCGGCCGATAGGGCGCCGCCATGTTGAGTTTTTGCAACCAGCGGCACCAGATGTGAAATCAGCTAAGAAGTAGCAACATTTTAACATTACATATTATATTCTAATAGACCGCACTTCTTTTTGAAACCAGAAGAGTCGCCCCCTGCTGGTCGTTTGATAGAATGCAGGTTTAAGGGACTTCCGCGTTCGCCTCAGTTCTCTGACCGGAAGCTTCCCACTTGGTTACAACCCTCCCCTGCTGTTGGCATTCTGTGTCCATTGGTGGCGGTAGAAATAGCAGCAGCACTGAAAGAAAAGTCTGTGATGTTGCATTCAGACCAACCGCGAATTTTCGCCTCGTGACGCTTTCCTTTCGTGAGTACATTCGCTGCAAGTGTTCATAAGAGAGGGCGATTTTAACGTGATAACTTGAATAAACACAACTCGCCATTACCACAACAATATGAACCCAAAGTAAACATTTTGCTGTGATTTAATTGCAATAAACGGATTAAACTGATGCTGAAATAACAACAACATGATGCAGATTTGTTAAACATATGAATTCATGCTTTGTCAGGTCTGCCAGCAAGACAGCAGGACAACAACTTCTAAAATGTTTGGATCGATCAGGGCTATGCTATGCTAACTTGGTCACAGTAAAGTACAATGATAGCTGGAATAAAGTCACAGACACATGTTTTCTGAACTCACCAGATAGTTCAACCTCCTCGCTCGAAAATATTCAACTCATGCGAATTCCTTCGCGTTGCCGGACCCCCCCCTTTGCTTCGCGTTGCTTTGCGCCTTCTGACAGGAAATGCGAACGCTCACTTTCGCTTTTGGTCTGAAAGCACCATAATGTTGGGGCACTTTGCTGCATCTGCCTCAAGCAACTACTTTTTTTCTCCCACATCTTTCAGCACCACCTTTGCGTTTGTCACGTTTCCATGATTTTTGAAGAACAAATAGTTGGGCTATGGGTCATTTCAACTGTTTCACCATGTTCTGATGTGGAGTGTGTGATTGATTGACATAGCCAATCATATTAAAACAGCCCCACCCCATCCCTGTCTGGGCCAGGAACCACACACGATGAGCCATTCCTTACGCCGCCAAAACAGCACTGACCCGTCGAGACACTGACTCCACTACAGCTCTGAAGATGTGCCTGATACCAATACACTAGAAGTAGATCCTTTAAGTCCTAAAATAGTCCTATCTTAAGTAAGATGCAAGGTGGGGTCTTCATGGATCGTTTGTCCAGCACATCCCACACATGCTCGATTGCATTGAGATTTGGGGAATTTGGAGACCAAGTCAACACCCTGTTGCTGTTGTGTTCCTCAAACCATTCCTGAACCATTTTTGCTTTGTGGCAGGGTGCATCATCCTGCTGAAAGTGGCCAGTGCCATCAGGAAATAAGGTTTCCCGGCAGAGTATTGCCTAAAGAATCACACTTCCTCCGCCGGCATGCCTTCTTCCCATAATGCCTCCTGGTGCTACGTACGAGTTCCCCAGCTAAGCAACACACAAGTGCGTGTGCATCTGTGATGTAAAAGAAAATGTCATTCTTCAGACTAGGCCACCTTCTTCCATTGCTCCGTGGTCCAGTTCTGAAACGGACAGCTCTTTTGGCAGTGGACAGTGGTCAGTAGAGACGCACGCTGACTGGTCTGTGTGTATTTGACAATTTGACTACTTTAGCTTATCTGTAGGATCAGGGGCCAGCATTCACTCCCCACGTGCATCAATGAGCTTCGGCCGCCCCTGACCCTGTCTCCGGTTCTTTGTTTTTCCTTCCTCTTTTCCACTTTTCACAGGAACTGACCACTTCGGACCGGGAAAACCCACAAGAGCTGCAGATTTGGAGATGCTCTGACCCAGTTCTCCAGCCATCATAATTTGGCCCTTGTCAAAGTAACTCCAAACCTTCTGCTTGCCCAGTTTTTCTGTCTCAAACATCAATAAATAATTATTTTTCATCATCAATAAATACAAAATTTCCACGCGCTGCCAAATATATTCCACCCACTGGTAACAACATAATGGGTGTCATCACATCACCTGTTAGTGGTCATAATGTTATGGCTGACTTGCATATAACTTTTACCAACGTGCTTATTTTAAACAAAAATAGACGCCAATAATAGTACAAAAATTTTACTGAAGCGGGTCAAAGATCGATGCAAAATAGTCTCATTCTGTCACCAGAACAGAGACCTGAGTTGACAAGATGGCATGTAACAACTGATATTCAACTTTTTTTGGGCCTCTCTCACCTCTGTTTCTAGGTGTTATGTCATCTCTTGGTTCTCTTTCCTGCTGCACCTGGTTCTATGGAAATTCACATATATTTAAGTGGCTGTCATGGATTTACCATGCAAAGATGTCTGCCTGACTGTACACTGCTCTACCTCTCTGTGGCCTTGGTATGCTTACTGTTGATCATGACATCTTAGCCACACCTGAGTTTCTAGGAAGTCCTGGTGAGCTGGTGTCTTCTGTGCTGTGTGATAGAGATAGGGCATCCTTACTGTGCTCCCTCACTCTACTCTGTGTCCTCCTCTACCTGACAGCACACACGGTTGCTTAAACACACACACACACACACACAAGTCATCCTGTTGAGCCCAGGCAGTCAGATCCAGAGAGGAGCTCACACACAGAGCTACAAAGTTTTAAAACTGTGTTCTTAACTTTAGCTATCTAGATACTTACCACATATACAAGCATGAATAAATTAACCCTTTTAAAGCTTTGTATATCAAAAGGACAGATCGCAAAGATCAAAACATTTTCTGATATCATAATTATGGTAAATCAGTCACTTATTGCTTAAAACCCACCATTCTTTGTAATACATTGCTCGCAGCTGGATGTCTTCCAGGGATTTTCCCAAAGTGGTATTCTCTTTTTGCTGACACTCATTTTTCGTTTGCTTATACTTTCTTGTGCACTCACACACATGCCTGGTGATAATTGCCCAACACCTGGGTTCTTATCTATTCACATAAAAAAATGCTCACAGAGAGAAGAAATCACTTTCACTGCTTGGAGCAAAGACTCATCATGCAGAGCGAGTCATCTTTAAACAACTTGCAACAACACGACAAGACACAACAGTGCTTGGACAATCATGTGACACTTCAGTATGGTGCATAATGTCCAATGAAGATGTATGATGTCCATTTTTGTGTCCAAAGCTTTGCCCGCGGTACTGTGGAACTTGTTCTGGCACAGGTTTCTTGGGGAACAGGCTGGATTTGAGGGCGCTCAGTCGTTTGTAGAGTCTGGCTTGTTCTTCCCTTATCTGCTCCACTTGGACTTATAACTGGTAGTAGTGCAGGCAGTGCTTGATCTCGCCTGCCGCTGCGCCTATCTCACGAGGCCCCATAGTAGAGGGCCTCCTCTGGTGTTCAGCTGGCTGTGAAGAATTGTTTAACTGGCTTGCAGCTGTATCCTGCTGAGCTTTTATCCTACTGTTTGTAGTTTTGAAACTTTAACTATTGTCTCTATCAGTTAGTTAGTAAAATATCAATCTTTTTCAACATGATTTTTGTTCCTCCTTTGAATGAATTATCCCACTAAATCACCTTTTCTTAAATTTCTGTTTAAACCTCCCCACACACAAGGAAGGCGCCTCCCAAATTTAGAATGTACATTCCTAGACGTTAAATTTCAAACTGGCTGCTGGAGGAGCGTGGGACAGCAGATCTATACCTTTTGTGCATTTGTGTTAATTACTCACTTATTGATCTTCAACACTGCGTGCGGACTGAGGATGTAGTGTGTGAAATTTTAGTCCCATACACACCAGCACGTACCTTGAGATCCTCGGGCAGAGGTCTGTTGTCTGTTCCAGAGTCTCGACTGAAAACT